GTTTTTTAGCAAAACGGTATAAGTTTTATCATATACAGGGCGGGGCACGAAAAACTTCCCACCCAGGTTTTCTCAAGTGTTAGATGATTAATTAAAAATCTCTCGAACACGTCAATTTTTGTGGGACACATTTTATTGGTATTTTCAGCCCCTACCTGTCAACCCCTAAGTGAGGGTGACAGGTAACCCAAAAATTTCAAATGAAAAGGGGGGTCGAGTGATACGTCATTTGATAGCTATTTTCATTAGGATTATATCCCCGAAGTTTTAAGTTGCAACTATTCACCCTGTCGAAATGGCGGCTTGTCAAAGTTAGGAAAAATCAATAGAAAAATGCTGTGTGGTTTCTACCTGTTACCTACGCATAGATGTGACAGGTAAAAGCTATAGTTTAGATTATCGAAAAAAGCATCTATATATATAAAACACAGTTGTGTTTTGTGGAAGCACTTATAACTCGAGAACGACTGGACCGATCTCCTTGAAATTTAAACCACGTATAGTCTGGCAAGTGGTAACTTGGTCGAGACGAAAGGGGGAAGAAAACTGGGGCGTTACCTAAAAATATTCACTGACACCGTCTGATGACAGCCATGTCTTTGATTTCAATGGCACCGAAAACACCAAGGAAATAAACCAATAAAATTATTAGAAAAAAGATTCTCTAGTTTCGCCAATAACCACGCCACTGCGTGCTGTCGTTCAGGCTCTAACCAATAGAATCTTGTTTCTGAATAATCACGCCTCACCACTTCCATCATTTCGCAATGTTGCCTGATTTTTTCCTATTTTAAAATATTACACATGCCCATATAGCAAACAAAAAAATATGTCACCAACTTGTTTATTATTTTGTTTCTAATTTCCGCCAAGTTTGGCAAAGCAGCGAATTCTTTTGCAGTTCGCCGTTTCGCTAGCTAGACAATAGTTTCTATCTAAAGGGAAGTGACATAGGATACTTTTTATCCTGGAAAAAAAAAATTATTAATTAATAATTATAAACAAACTCATTCACATACATGACCCAACTTTTTTTGTTGAGAATATGAAACAACGTTGCAACATTTATTTGAGCTTGTGCATTCAACCGACGCGACGTAACTGTATTATTTTTTAGAACACAAGAACGATTGGACCGATCTCCTTGGAATTTATACCACTTAGTCACTATATAAAGGGAGTAAGTATAGGCTACATTTTTTCTCAGAAAGCAAAATTAATTTTTAATTAATTATAAACAAACTTATTCACATACATGACCCAACTTTTGACAATATGAAACAACGTTGCCACATTTATTTAAGTTTGCGCATTCAACCGACGTAACTGTGTTATTTTTTTATTAAAAAAATTAAAAATTCAAATTTTCGCATTCAACTGACGTAACTGTATTATCTATCTATCTGTCGGGTTGGTTGCAGAACCAATAACTCGAGAACTGCTAGGCCGATTTTTATGATTTTTGTTATATTGGATTTGTCTGGCCCGAATTACATAACAACTATTGGAACATTGGAACATATAAAAAAAACACAAGAAAAAGAAAAACATATTTATGAAGAAAATTCACTAAATATGCATACGGCGCCATGTCTTATAACCGATACCAAGTTTGCCGCGTCAGATTGCGCGGTTTGTTCCATTTTGATTTTTGAACATTTATTGAACCACATAATTTATTGTTAGTAATCATTTTATCTCATTAATAAACTGAATTTAATTAAGCTAATGCGTTAACTTAACATTTATTGATTCTGAGGCGTTACGAAGTTCGCCGGGTCCGCTAGTTTATCCTAAATTTGAAATGCCGCCATTTCGGCAGGGTAAATAGTAGCAACTTAAAACTCCGGGGATATAATCTTAATGAAAATAGCTACTAAATGACATATCATTCGACCCTCTTTCCATTCAAAATTTTGGGGGTACAAAAAACGACTTCTATCCATATTTTATAGTTATCACTTAAGGAAATGAAAATCCAATCACGATTCTGATTCTGGTATACTTCAAATTGGTTACGAACATCAGATAGAATTATAGAACTTCAGGACCTCTATGGTACCCCCTAGTCATAACAGTGAAATCAGCTCTGGAAATTACGAACTACCCCACACTCTTTGCAGCAAATATCGTTCAGAACTTCTAGTGATCAAGGATCTCTGCAAACCTTTTCTGGCTTGAACTTTGTGGAAATCTACTTGCGGAATTGGGTGATTTCGTCATTTCCTGTTAATTTTGATTCAGTAACCTATTGTTGTGATTCCACAGTTGCTATTTCCGTGATCAATATACCTCTGTGACGAAATTGAAATGTTATATACAACTTAATATTTTGGCAGCGTGAATAGTTCTGTCGCATTTTAAATTTCGTGGTAAATTATGTTGGAAAGACAAATTTGAACTTTAGCAATGAATAGCAATTTTCTGAACCGGATGCAATCTGAATAAAATCTTCCTTCTTCTCTTCTTGAAGTGGTTATTGAAATGTGTTATTGAAGACTCAAAATTAGTACCACTTACCACTTTCCTACTGAAGCTGCAATCACCTCCTTTGCTCGCATAAAACGGCACGTGAGATCTTTCTATGCCACTACCAGCGTCAAAAGATTAAAACTAATTTATTCAAGAATAAAAAGAAAAGCTAACAGTTAATTGATCGAAAAAAAAAAAACACAAAATACTAATAATTTCAAATGCTACTTCGACCAGACACTACTTAAATCACCTTATTTACTTAATGGAACAAAAACAAATTAAACTAAAGAAAAATTAAAGAAAAGAGAGTATTTTCTCAATTAAAAGATTTGGTCCCAAAGCTGACACTTCAATAGAATTACAATAAAAAATACACTATCACCTCTTTGAAGAGCCTTTACTAAACACTGGGCGGTAGATGAACTGGAGGATGAGAAAAACGGATCGTGAACTCGTTGAGATTTTGCGATTTAAATTTTCGGCGACAACTGGCGTTGACTGGCCTTAACACTCGCTTGAATAAGCAAGAGGAAACCACCCTCTGGGTAAGTACTGCTTAGAAGCTCATTAACTTTCTATTAGTACCGGGGTTGAGAGTCGAGAAAATCGAAGATTTCCAACCCTCCTAACTTTCAGCGATTTGCTGAAAGTACCCTCCAGTATTTTTTGCTGTTCTCTTATTGGTTCTCAAGTTGCATCAACCTTCCCTAATCACACTGCTTCATCCTGTGATCCAGTTTCATGGCTCTCCAACAGAGTTCCTTAGGTACATGATATAAAATTAATAATAGAATATTAAACGTTTTCCCCTTCAATTGAAAATCTATCCCTTTTTTTCTAACTATGCCTTTTATTCTAATATCCTAATTTCTAACCTAATTATCAAGGGTATGAAATGAATTCAGCTATCTTCTTTTTATTTATTCATAAAATAATTGAGTAATTCACTCCTATCTTAATCTACTTATATCTTAATTATAAACAGTTAACTATCTTTCAGTTTATATTTCACCTAAGTAATAACTAATAACCCTTGATAATTCTATTGTTATACAATTTATTATAAATCTATAGCTCATGTAATTATTGTTTTTTTTTTCACACACACGTGCTTCGAATATAATTCTTTCAGTATCAGTTACCTGACATCTGGGTTTGTCATAAAACGTGAGGATTCAGAAGAGTATCCTTGACTTTGAATAAGTTATCACGACCACATGTGATCCGGTACAACTACAGATTAGTTTAAAGTTTAGTGTTTGTCTAGGAAAACATAAATTTGGTCTATATATTAGTCAATTTCGGGATACAGCCAAATAATCTTGAAACCATAAAATTCGATACCTTTTTGGATTTTAAGGGATTTCAACCACGACCAGATTAGGTGGTTCCCGGAAACTGCATGCATGCGTTTGTAAATCCCATTAGGGTCACATTTTAACTATCAATAAAAAAGCTGTTAATTTATTAATTACATATACAGATTATAAATTGACTATTGAATTTGTTACACTTCGTCACATCTAGGTACTCGAAACATTTGTAGACACAGATTCAAGTGACATCAAAATATGGTTCATGCATGGAAATACATAGAAACATTGGTAAAACCACGTGCCACGTGATATGCTTTCTGGAGTTCTAAACCCATCAACACTAATAAATTCTGATTCTTAGTTTCACTATTTGGATAAAAAAAAAATGAATTAGCGTATAATTCAGAAACACAAACTTAAACTTAGTAATTAAATTTTATTTTGAACTTATACTTAGCTATTTTTTCAAATTATTCTTGCAGTTTTTGATTCCACTCCACGAGATCCCGTTAAGAGTAAAATTTTGTGCTGGGTCATTTTCCCATTGTTTATTGCCACTCACCAAACTTTTTCATCAGTGAGTTTCGCCTGGCTCATGCATAAACAATTTCGGTGCAATTTCCGGCGCTTCTACAGCGTTTCGTCAAATCGCAAATCGCTCTTACATATTCAACTGAATTTATTTCCTACAAGCATAGAAGCTCGGGATTACAGGCAAATGCTCAAACAAATATTATTTATGCCTTTGTTTGAAAATCTAAATAAATTTGAGTGAAATGAAATAATTGAGGACTGTTCAAAGAATATTGTCTTTCCTTTGGCCTTTGGCGTGCGATAAAAGCGCCAATTCCCGGAGATTTCAAATTGGTTTATTTATGTGCCGGATGCAACTTCCCGATAAACAAATGTATTAAACTGCGTTGATAAATGGGAAAAATATCGAGGAAACGTTTACTCAGTTGATGCTCTCTGGCCAGGTGCGAACAAAAGCTGGCAGAAAGAAAATTGAGTAACAATATTTTTCTTCTACTTCTTTAAACAGATTTTTATTTTTAAATGTGCAACTAATCCCCTCGAAAAAGCCTTCGCTTCTATATAGACTAGAGCACTAGGATGGGTACCTGTATACTATTATTAATAAATTTATTTATATTATTATAACAATCGAAACCACAATTCTATATAATTATTCGGAAAATTCTTTTTTAGGTCGGCAAGTTATCAAGTTCGCACATCTCTACCCTCCGAGAAACAACAAACTCTGCTCAATCACATAACGCCTCATAGTGGAGTCATTTTGGAGCCGAGTACTGCCGGTCAAAGTTCCAGCCTGCAACAATCTTCAGGAAATCATCCACCGCCCTCCGATCTCAAAAATCCCAGCTTATCGAAGATCATGAAGGCAACAGGTTGGTATTAATTGATTTTCTTGAATAATGATGGGTTTAATTTTTTTTTTTTTAATTATAGATTCAATGTCGTTGGCTTCGCCAATAAGTCCCAAAGGGTTCGAAAGATTAACTGAAGATGTACCAAAGGAGGTGTCGAGTTTGAGTGAGAAACTACAACATTTGATTATGGGGCGGGTGGCGCATGCCAAAACATCTTTGAGAGGGAGGAAGATTGTTATTTATGTTTGCGCCGCTGATTCACAAGGTAAGATTTTTTAACTCTTTTGATACAGTTTTTTGAAGCCTAATTCCCATATATGTAATTCCTTGTCCATACTTCTTCGTAAATGCAAGACTTTCTTCGAGATGATTGATTGGAATAATTAGAGTCAACATTTCAACTGAGTCTGGCTCACTTACAGTGATGGAGTTTATTATCATTTTATTCGGTCATATACATATAAACTTTATTAAATCAAATAAAATTTAAACAAATACAGTAAAGCAATAAACAAAAAGTATAGTCAGGTATGCATAAAAAATTGCATAATATCAATTTAACTCACATCAGAATCGGAGGCTTAACTTTCGCATAAACATTCTTTGATCGCGCCTTTCAACAATTCTATTCTCATATGCTTTAGACTTAGATGTCGCCAATAGCGAATTCAATAAATGGTTGCAAAAACTTTTGCAGAATTTGGAATAAAGCGACTGTAAAAATTAATTAACCCAAAAACTACCGCAATGAACGGATAGTCATCGGACGAGCGAAAGTTTCAATAGCTTTAATTTTCTTCTCTAGACGATGAATTCTTTTTGTGGTTGATTTGTCACCCAACAATAGACCTATCTATTTTTACCTGTATGCGCGCGCAACACGAGGCGTTTTTATTGGCTTGGCTAACTAGTACAGGTGTGAAGTAATCCTTTTGCACGCTGGGCATCTCCTTGTCCTTGTTCATTGTCCGGGGTTTGACAAGGATAAAATTATGCTTGATATTCAACTTGACGTAGCTTGACAAGTGATCGATTTTCAATTGTTTGTGTTTTTGATTGACAAATACGTTGCATGTCACGCGGTTTTCCTCCTTCCTTTTTTATTCCGTGCAAATAATAGGAACGGATTGCTATACGTAAGTCTAACATAATTTGGTATGTTTTGGCTCGTCTTGCGCAATAGGCGTTCTGCGTCTTTTTCTATCTAATAAAGTTTTCGTATTATTACCTCTTTGTCTGGTAAAATAGATAGGTCTATTCAATCTCTGAGACTGCAAATTGACACTTTTCAATATTAATGAATATACCATGTTTGTTGAGTTGCTCCAGGAATAAACGGAAATCTTCTTGAGGTTACTCAACTGTTTCACTGGCAATTAAACAGTCATCCAAATATGTGAAGCAAAATGGAAGGTGACGAGTTAATTTATTCATGAACCGTTGAAATGTTTGAGCGGCATTTCTTAGTCCAAATGACATAGTTATATATTCCAACAATCCAAATGAAGTACAAATAGCTGTCTTTGGAATATCTGCTGGGTTGATTGGAACTTGATGATATGCTCGTACCAAATGTATGTATACATGTATGTGTTAGAGGTGTCAGCTGCACTGCTACCAAGGTTGATCTATTGTATCCCTCCTTCTGCTGCAAAGTTCGAGTTTCCTGCTCAAAACAGCCCTTCTAGTCCTAGGTCCTTCAGGAATTTTAGGATATCTAGTGGTTCCAGGCCTGGAATGTTTTCCAACAGTATAAGGGGACCCCCTTTCTTCTTTTTTCATCCTTGGGCTACTAACGCCATCGCTGATCAGTAGGAATCTGTAGGTGCCACCTTCTTCCAACTCGAATTTCTGTAGGTGTTTCTTAAAGAGGGTGTGAACTAAAAATCAAAATTTTTGTATAACAAATTCTAAGAACAATATTTCAAGCCGCACCATTTTATACCTAACGGTTTTCGAGATATTCGCAAAACAACCGTGGAAGCGTGTCGTCACAACCGCTCGGATACCGTAGACTCAGAATCTAATAAAATCCTTTGACTCTCACTTGAATGCGGGTTGATTTAAATAGGTGAAACATGGCTTTTGGTTTTGAACCAAAGTACACAAAAGCAGGATCTGTTTTGTTGCAAACTCTCAAGACTGATATCTTTTGATAGAATTCCAGCAAGAAGCGAGGTTTTCGATGTTGTTCTTAGATTTTTTTTACATTTTATAAACCAAAAACGTATTTTGGTTTAAATCCCCTTTCTTTAAGTCTGTCATGTCCCGAGAGAAACCCGGTTAGAGTCTTGAGACTATTTTTGCTAAGGTTGACTAGCAGTTCTGCTCTTTTTTGGTTGAAGTGCCCGATAGATCTTTGGGCTGTCATAGTCTTAGCTGTTCTAGCCATTGTTTGTTCCTTGGCCGGTTCTCTTTTTGAGGATTTCTTGGAGGTGCGCATTTCCGACGCCGCAAAAAGGTTCTGACCCAATGAAGGCAATAGGAGACTCCCGTTCTTGCGAGTTTGTTTTCGCGTTCGTTGCCCTCGATGTGTCCAGGCACTCAGAGGAGGGTTACTTTGTTATCTTTTCCCAGCTCATTGAGTTTCTGTAGACGTTCCCATACCATCTTGGAATTGATTACCGGGGAGCTCAATGCTTTGATAGCTGCTTGACTGTCAGATATTATTACAATCTCTCGTTTTCGATAACTTCTGTTCAGATTGAACTACACGCATCTTCCGATCGCATGAAGTTCTGCTTGAAATATGCTTGGTAATTTTCCCATCGGGTCCGGGTACCTGGTCCATGGCCCGAATACTACGGCTTCAGTTCCCTCAGCAGTTTTGGAACCATCTGTGTACAATTTTGATGTTGTTTGCTTTAAGGGATTGGATAGATTTCATGTTTATATCTGTTTTTTGTACTTAGTTCGATGGAAAGGCTTTTCTCGAAACTGAATTTGTCAACAATCACGTATTTTGATAGATCCATGAGGTGTGCACAGTTTGGGAGAGGAAAAGTTCTGCCAAAGTGCGTTTTCCGTTGTAAACCTATCTTCGCCAATCTGAGACATGATCCACTGGCAAACGGCTTCACTATTATGTGGAGTGGTGCGAGGTCTACGATCAATTCCAGTGCCGCGGTTGGGCATGATATCATTGCTCCTGTTATGAGACACTTTTCCTAGGGATTTCCTAGCTGGGTTCGGCTATACCAAGTTACCGCTCCGTAGGTGATGATAGGTCTCACTATCATGATATACATCCATCGTATTGATGGGTAACAACCCCACGTTTTACCCGCAATGTTTTTGCAGACCATGAGTGTCGACATTGCTTTGTTTTTTGTGTTCTCTACATTTCGTTTCCAGAGAAGTTGAAAATGTATGGTTATTCCTAGGAATTTAACTTCTTGTTTCCAGTTGAGCCTGCTTCCATTGAGGCGAATGTTTCTCAAGTTTGGGCGTTTCGTTCTTTTTGCAAGTGTTTTCAGTGTGGTTTTTGCTGAGTTTAGATTCAGCGCCACTGTCTGACTCCATTCCTTCGTGGTTTGAAGTGCTTTTTAAGGTCGCCTCCGTATTTGCCTCTGGCCATGATGACAATATCATCGGCGTATCCAAAGCAGGTGAAGTCCTGATCGGTCAGCATATTTAGGAGATCATCAACCACTAGACTCCACATCAAAGGTAATAGTACCCCTGTGGACATTCTCTAGTTGTGTTGACTTGTATGGTCACCCACGTCAGTTTCTGCAGTTTCTGTGGTTAGCGTTTCGTACATTCAGGTGAATGTCGTTTTGTCCACTCATTTTTTGACGAGTACATTTTTTATTGACCTATGAAAGGTGTTATCAATGCCCCTCTATGTCTAAGAAGGCGCAGATGGCTACTTCTTATTCTGCAATGTGTTTTGGATGCTGTCAGTCTGTTGATCTGCTCGTTCTGTGAGCATGTTGCGCAGAATGTTTTCTAGAACATTTATTCTGATGAAGCTATTTATAGCTTTCTCAGCTGGTTTCAGTAAGAACGACGTGAGACATATAGGTCTGAACGACTTCGAAAGAGGGGCGTTCTTTTTCCCTGCCTTTGAGATCACTTCTCTATTGACTGGGTATATATCCTGTCGCTTAGCTGTATCTGATGCGTTTGATTAGATACGGCATGATTTCATTTTATCTTCTTTGCAGCAGGGCTGGAAACATGCCGTCAACTCCAGGTAACTTGAACGATTGTAACGAGTCAATCGCCTAACTAAGCCGCATAGTTTCTTGGCCACCTCCCACTTTTCTTGCCTGGTTTTCCTGGGCCGTCCTCTGTTTTCTTCAGTATTATTGGGTTTGCTTTCTGGAAAGTGAGCTTTCAGTAGTAAAACAGCTTGTTGCTTTTCATTTTCTGTGCACCTACTGTCAGGTTTCTTAAGTGTCAATGGTCCGTGCGCTCTGCCTTTTCCTAGGGTTTTGTATAGTCTGGCTGCTGATGGTGTTTCTGTGATAGACTCACAGAAGTCTCTGAAGGTTTTTCGTTTGGCCTTCCTTATTTCCTTGTCGTACTCAGTTAGTCTTTCGGTGTAGCCCTGCCATATTTTTCTTCTCGTTTGGCTTTGTTGAAAAGCCAACGAACCTCGGATCTATTAAGAGTGACAGGTGACTATTCCACCATGGGCAGCCATTTTTGTTTACTTGTTCTTTCACGGAACAGCTGGATTCGTATGCCTCCATGATTGCTCCGTTAAGGATCTGATGGGTTTCTTCTACTTCACACGTATTTTTACAGCTAAAATGATTTTGTTTGAAGATGCATTGAAGTTTGGTTGTGTATTTTTCCCAGTTGGTATTTCTGGGGTTTCTATACGAAGTAGTTCGTTCCTTTACTCCTTTTACGTTAAACATTATGATTCTGTGATCAGAGAGAGAGGGTTCATTGGATACTCTCCAATTCCTGATTATTTGGTCAATATTTGTACTACAAAGTGTCCAAAGGTTTATGTCTAACCCATGCTGTTTAGTCCTAGTAACTTCCCAAAATGGTGTTGTGAGCGTTGGCGTCACAGCCAATTAGGAGCGGTAGTTTGCTGCTGTTACAGTACTCGACTAGTCTCTGTACTTCTTCTAGTGGTGCTTCCTCATCTCCAGCAAAGTAGCCTGTTGCCAGGACTAGGTCGCGGTGTGGTTGGTCGGTGATAGGTTTTACCCGAACAGTGACCAAGTCCCGCGACGTAAATTCTGAACAACATAAATGATTAATTATTTACAGAGAAAATTTGTGGAAATTAAAGTCAAAGGA